AAAAGTACCACAAAGAAGAAGACAGTAATGTCACTCAATATCCTATTCATCACTCTGAGATTTGTAGCATGTGATGGCATTGTGGTCCAGAGCTGCACAAGTCTGAAAGGTAGTTTCCAATAACTTCCTTTAGAATACAATCTCTATGGATTCTAAGAGCAAACCAAACATGTTTGGCTTCAGGATCTGCATCTGTGATGGTATTTTACCACTGTTTTGCTTAGTTAGGATTTTTTTTTGTTAAAAATTCAATCTGCAGGACTTGTGGACATATCTGGATGGCACCTTAGAACACACTTTGTGATCTGTGGTCTGCAGACTTATTGTAATCAGTGAGTTATATTTTCAAACATTTTTAAACAATCCTGATGATGTGCATCCTTGGAAATTCAAACAAACTCTAAGAGTTTCTGGTGAATTTATGAATTGCTGACTTCAAGTGCCAGTAAATATTTGTGCTTTCTTAATGTCAGGTAAGAAAAGAAATTTCAACATAGTATTAGAGAAATGCATCTTCCAACAAGAAAAAAGTTTTATTTCCTAACCTTATCCAGTTATTTTGTACTATGCAGGTTGGAACTACTTTGCTTAGAGATTGTTTTTCCTCTGATAGCTATAAAATGCTCACCACAAGATAATCCTCATCCGAGCCTAATGACATAACTGACATCAACTGGGTGCATACAAATTTCTAGCATGAAAGAAAATTGCCAAGTGAATGTTCTGGTCACTCAGGTAGTTGTACATATATGTATAGGGACATACAGATGTATGATTAAATATGTAATTCTTTGCATCTGCATGCACATTGGAGATTTCCTGTATATACTTTGAGAAGCAATTATGCAGAAAGAAATGTTACTACATGCATTTGTCTCGTGGAGAAACACTCAGAGAATTTACAGAGGGAAAGACAGGCACTTGAGAATCTTGCCTAGTTTAGAATAAGAGAGAAAATTTCAAATTAAACCATTGGCTCTAGGAGAAACACCTGCTACAAGTCAGAGGAAAAAAGAGGACCGTAGAATATGCCTATATTCATCCAGTCAAAAGGCTCCTTCTGGTTACATGTAATGGAGACAGAACTGATTCTGGAGGAAGATGTCTTTCCATCTCATTGGGGATACCATATGAAAAATACAGTTTGTTTTCTTACCCCCATTGCCCCATAAACTGGGAGAGAAGAGGTGTGGAGGAAGGTGAAGAAGAGTACTTTGGCTGAGCAGAATCAAGGGGGGAAAAAATTAATTGAATCAAATGGCTGACCAGCTGTCTTCACAGCATCTTGTCTTCTGAAGACTCTAGATGCTGCAGTGCTCTACAAAACGCTCCCTCACCTCGGTTTTAAAAAGCTTCATTGCACCTTATCACATCAAAGCAAAGCATCTGCATGTTTCAGTTGTGGGGCATCATGTGTCTGGCTCCCCTCTGGCTCTCACTAATCCCCTGGATTATCACAGCTCTCTAAAGCGGCTCTTAAAAATGTGAAAATAGGACTCCAAGTGGGTGTGTGAGAAGTGGAGACTGCAGCAATAAGCCTGCCTGTGCCTATGGAATTCATATAATCACAGCCTACATTACCAAAAAAGGTGTTGAAAAGTCTGCTTTTGCCCCAGCTGATCCCAGACAATACTGGCTCTCAGTGAGACAAAACAAGATTGAGTCTGGTTCATTCATTTGCTGGAGCACAACTGAACTGCTGCTACGTGTTATAGCTCATGCTGAGTACACGAGGCACTGCTCCTCTACAATCCTCCAACATTCAGGTTTTTTGCTCTTTTTCAAAGTCCCCATCTGTAAATGAGGGAGTTCGCAAGGTGACGATGCCCTCCTAGAGGGGCTGTGGTTTGTGCAGGGTGGTCTTTAGCATGGGCAGCAAAGACAGGAGATGAGTGGGAAGCCTTTGCTATGGAGGTGGCATGTGACCCCTCTGTAGCTGGTGTCTGTCCCTTTAGATCTGTGGGGAGGAGATGGTCTCACAGGGCTGCTATCCCAGCAGTTCAGGTGTGAAAAAAAGAGAGCTCCAGCCTGTACTGAGAGGCCAGTGCCTTTCATAGTCCTCAAATCCACTTCAGAGAAAAGAAGCCAAGGAAGGAACACAAAAGGAAAAGTTTTCATTGTGTAAAGGGGAAAGAAGTTTTTGCAGAAATTATGGCTCATCCCCTGTCTTAGATCTGTTGGCTGCTCATTCCCAAAGGAAAACATAATAATCCCCATGAAAGTCATGATATTGAGAACTAAATGATAGTAAACCCTAAAATCTTCAGTAGTTAATGAGATTTTTTTTTCCTTTTCTCTCATTTAAAAATAAAAAAGATTATGCATGTCTGACATTGACACAAAGTCTGGAGAACTGACCCATAAAGTAATTAGAAGAGGAATTCACCCTCTGCTCTGCCCCCCTCCCCAACCTTTCCCATCTCAAAGCCAGATCAGATGAAAGGCAAGCTCTGTTTACTTCCTGATCTGTCTAATTTCAGTAACGAGGACCATCCTGACTTCATCTTCCTGCAGCTGCTAGGAGTGAAACTCAAGAGTCTGCCCCAGGCACTGCAGCACCTTCTCAGAGCTGCTTGACCTTAATGGATTAGCGTTTCCCTGAGCAGGTGGCAATATAACAAGAGGAGACAAACTTTTACACTTAGGAGACCTCTGGTGAATGGCATCAAATTTCAGAAGGTTGAAACAGAGCAAAGAGACTTCTGATGCCTTCCCACCTTAACCCTGCGTCACCTTAACCTCCTTGCTATGCACATAAGTTACAGCTTTCCAGTTGGGAATCTAAGTCTGTTTATTAAGGAATCAAAGTAAAAACAGCCTTATATTCTTAACATGTCCTACTCTCACAAATCCTATTGAATTAAAGGAGAGCAACGGGTGCTTTGATTTCAGTCTGCTTATGTCTGAGTGTCTGAATAGGGTGTTAGGAGTATTACTTTAGGCTCTTCATTTTATAAGTATGTGCCACAGTAAATGCATCATAGTCAAAGCAATAATAGCATCTTTTGCTTTGAGGTTCTAATTCTACCAAATAATTCAGGGTTTAAAATGGCAATGCCAAATGCACTGTATGCTTTCAGTAGGTAGAAGAGCAGAAAAAATGCTGGTTTATTTAAAAAAACACAAAAGTATTTGTCGATTCCTCCTACACACATAAGCCCTAGTAACAGACCAGATTCTACTTTATCCTAGTCTACTTTCCACTGTCTACTATGATCTGTTTGTTTAAGGATTCGTCATAATAATTACAAGTCAAAACTGTCAAACAGATGTCCAAGATCTGATAGCCTGGTGTCAGTTACCATATTAAAACCTTGAGACAGAGATACCTCTACTTAGGCTTCTTTACACTAACTCTTCATTTGCTCAGCACCTGCAGCTCCCACTATGTTGACTTACAAGACCAGATCATTCATGTTTTCAAACAGGTTAGTTGCTAGATTTTCCAATCAGCAGCCAAGAAATATGAGATTGGTTTTTACCAGTATACAAAGGAACATTTCAAGGAGACAGACAAGGCAATAAAGCAAGAGCAAGTAAAATGTAGTGATAGAAATTTTTTTTGCTATAAGTAAACCTGTTACCTTCTGAATAGTTTGCTCTTGTCAATAATGTGTAGGAATCTTATGTAAATATGCATATGTTTATATATTTAGTTTTCTATATGCCTTTGTGTCTACTATTACATATACACGTGCATATATATGTGTTTGCGTATTTTTAATCCACATAAGATGCTACCAGATATTTATTTATTAAGTATTTCTTTTTGGGCTCCAGTAGTTAGTAAATTTCCTCTTCAGCAGAATATGTTTTGTGTATTTTAAAGTTGTCATGTCAAATGATTTCAGTGGAAAGTACTGACATGCTATTCACTTAAAACCTGCAGTTATTTAGGATCAAGGACATTGTCCCTATAAGAAAATAATGTCCTGAGAAGCATAGCTTCTGGGATCACATCATGTGTTTGTCCAGTGACATCCAACTGTTCTGAACATATCTGGCTCTGTATTGTCCTGTCCCCAAAGACCTGTGTCGCGGTGTACTTGTATCATGAATATTAAAAGCACGATTATACTTTTCACCCCAGCACAGTTCATCTGTCTATCCAGATATGTATGTCAGCTATTTTAACTGAAACTGTCTCTCTGACAAGTACCTCACATACTCATACAGTATTTGTATGACTTTATGAATACATCAAGATTGGAAAGCTGCATGTCCTACACGCACATTTTTGAATTTTTTTAGTAAGGGTGAATCCCCCGGGGCCTGTGCAACGAAGGAGGAGAAGTAACTGTCAGACAGAAAGACCAGTGAAATGAGATCCGTAGATTTCTCCCCTAGACCGGTGGGGACCCCTCCGGTCTAGGGGAGAACACAACAATCCCAAGTGCAGAGAGCACTTGCTGATGCTGTGTCCGTGCCAGTTTTGTGGGCAGTGATACACAGCTTTGCAGGTATGTCCACCTAAAAAACCTCTCCTGTCCTCTAGAAGAAAAAACTACCCTAGAGCTTAGCTGCACAAGCCAGCAGGTTTCAGCAAGTGGCTTGACTTCACTCTCTGCACCACGGATCTCCATGCCCTTGGACCTCCTCTGTGGACAGCCCAATGGGTGCATCTCCTGCCCAACACGGTCAGATGCTTTTTCTGCAATAGACTGGAAAGGGGAAAATATTACATGAGTGAAGTACATACAGAAGCATTCAAATTAACACACAGCACATATCTTTCGACTTCATCAGAAACCTTGCATATATGTGAGAGTCAGGGAAATCATGGAAATTTCTGGCACTCCCTTAGATTTGAGGGTCTATAAACTAATTAATGGATGGCATCATCTTTACAATGCAATAGGTAGATTTTTTATTTGTGGCAGATATAATAATGATAGTTTCTTTCATTAAGTTTTAGTAATAATCTTTATTTAATAATTAATACAAGTATAATTTAATACAGTACAAATTAAAAGTATTCTTCATTTCTCTGTAATGTTTCAGAAAGCCCTGTCAAAGGACAAACGATAGTAATTGCTTACAAAATACATGCATTAGTCAGATTATATGTGGACATTTACATTGCAATACCTAATGCCCTTGTCCTGATGACACTTTACAGCACTGTTACTATACTGAATAGTAAACTTTTGATTTGTCAAAAGAAGCTAGTCAGATATAGCCTGTATCCTTGTATGTTATAGATATAAAATATGGGCAATCGTTTTTGCTTGAACACTGGATTTCATGGTAATCATTGTCAGATTTCACCCAGAAATCCTCCAGCTGTCACCATTTAAATGATGGCATCAGTCTTACTGAATAAAACAATATCTCTCTTTTCCATAGTTAGATAAGAAGTAAGACTTTTTCCATGAAGGCAGATGCAGACAATTCCCACCAGCAAAGGCTCTGTTGACTAACGAGTCACATTATTAAGTGGGGCACGTGTAATTGTGTAATTCCCCAAGTATCTTCACCATAGTATTACACTGACATGCCACAGCCTTCTGGTATTTAAATTAGCAGTGCAGATAAGCCATTATTCTGCTGTGGAGTTGCTGCATCTTTCAGAGGCTATCCCCAGGCCAAAATGAAGCTTCCACCTTCAACCGAAGCCTTCAGGTATGCCAAAACCTGCAACAGGAAGCACTAAAGTTGTTCTGACATGATCAGTCAATGAGGCCTATGTATCTTTCCTTAAACTATGGTTTGGTACTTAACTCTTCTTCCAAAATCATAATATGATAGCAGTTATGATTTTCCAGCACTTTATGATTCTGGTCGAGGTAGGTTAAAATCATTTCACACAGGTAAAACTTAGCATAAAAAACTTAGCATAAAGAAAGTTAAACATTGTTTTCCATTCATTCCAAAAGTTAAAAGGAAAAATATTAGTATTTTTGAGTCTTTATTGGAATTTCTCATTGTTATGCCATATAAAGGACTCTCAAGAATTGGTGTATGACTACATATATAATATGAGGATGTATCTTCCACTGCAAGTGAGTACTTGCTGTTTTTAAAAGACCTAATAGTTAGGCTGCGTGTATACCAAAATATTTGGTTTTCCTCATAACCATTAGAGACTACAGCATTTTCAGTTCAGATGTTTCCTACCCACAGATAGTATCTTAGTTTTGGCTGACTTTTCAGTCAAAAACAGGAAAGGAGTGGCAAAGAACACTGAATTTTTAATAAAGCCATAATGGCTTTAATCTTCCTTGCTCAACAGTTGCAAAAGACTGAAACATCAAAGAAATATAAGCAAAAGATGAAGAATATATAGCAGAGGAAAAAAAAAACAAAAGACAAAAGTTGTCTCTTAGATATTCCCTTAGAGTTGTTCTGTTTTCCAGCTTCAGACCCAACTCCACAAGTGGTCAAAGATAAAGAAAAGACTGTGAGCCTTTTACAAAGAAGAATCAATTCTGAAATGGAAAAGAGATTGGTTATTTGTGGGGAACTTTTTCAGGACAAAATTGTGTAAATTTTGGATTACGCAGACCTCAAAGTTCGTAAAACCTGCTGAAAAAAATGTACCTGGGGGGGAAAGGCCTGACTTGGGGAAAAAAATCAGAGTATCAGAGTGGATAAAAGTTTTGTGAAACAAACTTCTTTCCTTACCTTAGGAAAGATATTTATTGTGACATGAGCTGTCATTTGGAGCTCCTGTGTGTTGCACCATATTCATGCACCTCTCCTGATGGGAAAAAAAGGAAAGATATTTGCATGGAGTTATTAAGAAGATTGGTCCCAGGCCTAATGAAGATAGGCAAATACTTGCTTTGATTACTTTGCATGCAAATGCAGGGTCTTTATGCCCTGTGGATCAAGATAATCAAACTCACGGATGTAATGAGCTTAAAAAGGAAACATCACTCCTGAAACCTTTAATCCAAGAGATCTTTATTGATGTTGTCAAGAAGCTGTGTATTTCTATAACGGTCAAGGTCTTCAAATGTTGCAAAAACATTTTTTGGTGGATTTTCAGAATTAGAGATTTATGAAAACTTGATTGTTTTACATTTCTCCAAAGTAAACATAAAGGTCTTGAAACTGGCATGTATATGAGACCTTAGACTGCTACATGTAAAAATACCATCTCCTATAAATCTCAGGACATTTTTGTTGCTTGGCATGTTTAGAGAGATATAATACTCACTTTCTGGCTTTAAAATTTTACTTTTTTCCTTTTTTTAATTTACTGCCATTGTTTTAGGAAAACATTTAAATAACTTAATGACCATCTACCTCCCAAAATTCTCTCATAATTTCCAATTGGCTGCAAATGCCTTTTTATTTTCTTCCCTGCACTACCACATAATGTCACATTAGTCTGTCCATCAGCTGCCAAACTTGTCCCTATCTTCTGATAGGAAACATCAATACTCTGTACCAGATCCTGCAGGCTGCCTATCGCATCCTCACATGAAAGCATAGGAATCAGGTTTCTTGTTGCCAAATGTCAGCTGAGAAATTTATCCTGCCTAAAGATCTGGATTTATTTATCACATCCAGCATTTTATTTGGAAAGCTTTCATGGAAGAAAATTATAAAAGAATCTCTCACCATGCCAGTGGACTGAAACACCTTCAGGACTCTTTTTTCCCCCCTTTTTTCAACATTTCCCTATTGTTTTAAATTTAAATTTTCTATGTCTTCTGAGCACACAGTGAAACTTCTTTTAAAGAGATTTTGCTTGCCTTGTGTTTCTCAAACTCTCTACTCCATCTCTGACTCATTCCACGTGGGAGTATTTGCAAAACTCTTTGGCTCACCCAGTCTTTGATTGACGTCACCATTGTCTCCTTACTATTTTTATCCACCTTGTCAGGGCTAGTAAGCACAGTGCAGCATGTTGATTCCGAGTCAATTTTTCATCACTGTTATGCAGCTTGAAGGTTTTAGTGATGTCTTTAAAGCTGCTTAGTTGATCTTTATGTGGAAGCTTAAATAAATGCTGTTTGCATTTAGGACTAGTAAACCTGCAGGATTTCTGTTCCTCATTCTTCGCCACCTCAGCAGCAGTAAGGTGCTTTGCAGAATTTCAGCCAGTGCCTACATGTCATTTATTCTTAGTTATGTATTGGTATTTTCATGATTCATCACAGAAGAGGGAGGGTGGCAGGGAATTTGTGAGGAAAAAAAAAGAGGATGAGATAATACAACTGCACCTTGCCACAGTTTTCACATATAACCTCTGGCAAATCACTCAGTCTTTCTGCCCCTGTGGCTCATGTCTGCAGCTGGATATTCAGCACTCATTCCTCTCTGACTTGCAGAACTCAGTTCATGCCTGATGGAGAGGTGCAAGAAGAGCAAAGTGCAAACAAATCCTGAGGGAGAACCTGAAAAGTGGGGTTAACCTCTATTCTGTTGCTGTCATCAAAAAGGGACCTGTAAATATATAGGTTACTATTATGTTTAATTAACTCTTGAAGGCTCCAGGCACTATGGCCCAAATCCAGCTTCCACCTCTGCAGGCTTTGAAGTGCTGGAGGAAGCGTCTATGGTAGCGTAATCAATTTCTTCTCACAAGGTGAGAGGACTTTAATGAAGGAAAGAATGATCGATGGATGTTTGCCAGCATGCTTGGCTTTGCTTCACAAATGTTCTCATTGCTGGCATTAAACCAAGCCAGAGGATCCACTTATCCACCCACATGTTACTTACTCGTGGTGGGAGGTAGAAGAACATGGCAGAATGAGCAAGAGGGATCACATTTCCTCAGCTTTCTGTCCCACCAAGTAATCCAATCCATTTCCTAGTATACAGGTCTTACCAAAATGTTACCTTTTTTTCTTGTGACACTCTCTTGTTTATTCTACCTCCCAATCTACTTGCATTGTGGTCCTTGTACAGCCCTGCAAGTAGTTGCAGGATTTTCCCCAAGGCGTAGAGCTGCTATCAGGGCCAGTGGGATCAGATGCATGGGCTAGTCTAAAACAGCTCAGCAACCCCTTGTTGAAATTCCTGCTTGCTCAGCTGGCCAGTGTGCTCAGCCTCGATCAGCTGCTGATTGCTACTTCAGCTCTACTCCCTGCTCATGTCGGGTGGACTTCCTATTAGACAGAGTTATATCCTTGGCACAAGAGCCAAATGCCAAAGAGTTGGAAATCTCTTCCGACCGATCATACTACACTTAACAACTTCCGCCCCTTGATTACTGAGGAAATTATTAGAAGAAGAAAGTGTGTAGATCTTTCACTGTGCCTGCCTTAACTTAAGGGAGGTCAGGAATGATAAGGGGAGGAGAGATTTGAGCAATCATTTAACTTTCTTAAAAGCTCTTATTCCTCTGTTTTCTCTATTTTGTATCTTGTCTGCTATCTACTTCCATATCAAGTTCTTTAATTCAGCATCCCACCTCCTCTGCAGGCTTTTTAAATTCATACAGATCTGTGTCTGAAAGTGCCGTTGTGAGTTCCTCTTTTCTCTTCGCACAAACACAGTGTCTGTAATTTTCAAAAACAGATGCATTATAGCTGAAACTTTCATCCAAACTTGATGTGTTCCACTCTTGTCCCTGTGATGTCAATGAAACTGCACAGCATGCTCAGGTTCACTGCAACCACAAGTCTTTTCTGAAGCTGGTCCCTAATGTGCTTGTTTGTGATCCTCAGTAAAATATTTGAAACTAGAATAACTGGAAAGGGTTCAGGTAATTTCAGGTGCTTATTATTGCAACTTGGGCATTTGTGTGGTATGAGGTAAGAGTTAGGTTAAAAAAAAATATTTGATGCAGAATGAAGGAATTCTCAAAATTCCTTCATTCTGCATCCTCAAAAAAGCAACAAAAGTGTCTTACTCACACGTGCAATACAGCATGATGTTTCTGTTCTTCAGAGCAGATTTCTGAAGCAGAGAAATACAAGTTCCCATTGCTATATTTTAATTCACATAAAAGAATGAATTAGCTGGGAAATGTAGGTATAGTAGGAGTTTTGTTACCATGGAAATTACAATGATTCCTAAACTGCTTGTAATGGGAAGAAAATCTCTTTGAAGAGGATTTGGTCTCATATGTGGTGCTGAATTTAAATGATTTAATGGTGAAAGAAGCAGTTAAAATCAGTGCTGTCAGATAACAGCATTTATTGGGCCAAATAAATAGGACTAAGGCCCATGTTTTAAAATATATTTCTCTTCAGCTTCCAGTGTCTTTGACTTCAGCTTTAAGTAGGCAAATGCTCAGTTTCCTGAAGGCTATTTGAGGTATCGGAGCCTGATCTTGTATGAAAGGCTTTGTGCTTAGTATTCAATTTGGGCAACACCAGGAGATCCAATGTTTATAGGTTGAAATAATCTTTATACATGCAAATCAAGTAGTTTGATAGCTAAATGCCAACAACTCTATCTGTAACTGATGACACCTCCGTTCCTTTAGGCTAAGACTGACAAGTCAAGCCTTTGGGCTACATTTTTTCAAAAGCTTAGGGATTTGTATGCATACTTCCCAGTAAGAGAAAAATAAACCGGGCACTCAGGTCCTATCGCCAGCATCAAAGATGACTTTCCAAATGCACTCAGCTTCTTCCTTTCTCTACCAATACAGAGAATGCTTGGGTGCCTATTGGAAACATTCCTCTAAGAAAATGACCATTTTAACTAAACTGTGCTTAAATGAATGAACCAGGCTGGACAGCAAAAGAGACAGAAGTTGCTCTCTGATCTTAAAGTGAGGAAAAAGACTGATCCAGAGGAAGAAGAAATGACAGGATAAGCTGATGGAGTTCTTTCCAACTCCCACGTATAAGCTAAGTACGATGATCTGCCTCACGGCCCTAGAGGACTTCCAGTAGTTTCAGGGAGAATGGATCTTATGTTTCTTTTCTCCACAGCAAAGTTTTCCAAGAGCATAGATTATGCTCAATAAATAAGGGTTTTTTTTCCTGACTATTGGCTATTGCAATATTCCATTTTATTCCATATTTTCTGTACCATGTAATTTGGGCCTTGTACACAGTGTTAATACATGCAATAATTATAATTCTCCTTGACTGCATCATATTTAAAGGTGTAAGCTTCTCAATTCATCTCCTTGAGGCAGATTACCCAGGAGACAACCCGCACATTACAGATGGAGCTACTCTGATCCCATTAACTGAACAGTGAGGAGAGCATTTGAATCACAGACTCCAGAGCCTAGTGAAACCCTGATCTCATTAAAAGCAAAGCCGGCAAGACTGCACCATTGGGGTGCCACTTTGGGTGTGCCTTTGAACTTAGGGCTGCATCCAAGGGGCAAGTGTTGAGTGGAAATGGGACTGAGACGTCGGGATGAGGTCCCTCACACCACATCCACCTGTGCCTGTGAACTTCTGATCCTTTCTACCAGACACCTCTCAGCAATTCCTGCAGGTGCCAGGGGGCTCAAACCACCAAAGTGAGGCACAGAAGGAAAATAAAAGAGCAGACAACTTAAAACCAAGTGGATTAATTAAATAATCTATATATTTACCAGTGATAATTCTACAGTAAAAAGCCTCCAGGGTTAGACATTTTATAGGGATTTCAATTCCTTAATTTGGAAGGTTTGAAGCCCTGAGGATTGTACTCCTTTTGGTTTTTTAAGTGATTTTGTGGAATTGTCATGGTGCAGGCTTTGTCTTTTGGGCTGTTTGCTGTCAATACAAACATCTTTCAAGGACAAGCTGTAAGATACTCCCACTGTCATATTACAACATTGATTTTTGTAGT